AACATGCACACGTGCATTACATGACCCTTCATTGGCCCTTCAAAGTTGGCAGTGCCATTTCGGGCACGGAAACAGGATGCAATTTAAGTTGCGGTCTTTCTTCTGTTTGACTGTTTTGCTGGGAAATTCTGAGTCCTAGGATATTGTGGAATATTGCGGAATTCAGCAATAACAGCTGTCAATTCGACATCCCACTAGTCCTTCCAGCTTGAGGAATATGAAGGTTCACCGCTGCAGGATGATGTTGCCTGCCATCTCCCCTGCATTGCAATTGTTCAAAAAAACTGAAATTGCATTAAAAGCTATCAGACGTATGAAAGTCCTCGGGTCCTCGAATTCACCGGGCAGAACATCGAATCGAACACGCACTAACGCTCAACCAAACAATGATGTACCGCGGAAAAACAAGAGGGGATACTCTAACCTGCCCTTCCATCAGAACATGACTGCAATAACTCTGGACCCAACCCTAAACTGTGGACACCTCCCGGCGCACTCCCGCATCTAGTTCTTGTGGGGTTTATAGGGTCAGTCAGGATTGTTCCGCTTCGGGCGTGGTGCTATGGTGGGGAATCATCGGGAACGTGGATACCATTTTTTCCGGGAAAGAATTGCTGGAAAATCTTCCTTGAAAACTGGCCTGGGATGGGATGTTTTCAGGGGTTTTGCAATTTGGATCAGGGGCTTTGGAAGGCTTCGGTTTCGCAGACTCGCAGAGCTGGACCTATGTTCAAAGGTTAAGGGTGGGGCAAGGTTCCAAAGTTTGGCAGTTTGGGATTGAAGAAACTCAGCACGAGCTTCTGGCTCTGAAAACAACAACATAAAAACTGCCCTTTGCGATCAGACCGCACATGCATACACATGCAACTGGGACGGCCAAAGGATCCGGGCCCCAAGACGACGACAAATGACAAAAGATGAGAAGTCAGAACAGACCGAGAAGTCAAAAGCAGTGGGCCCTGCCTTTCCTCAATGCTCCAGGGTTTTGCCTCCCTCTCTTTCAACCCGAAGCGTTGACGCAAATTGGCCTGTGCATGCCTGTGCGCACCCGTCTTTCATGGCCCCTCAAAGCGCCTCACTGGCCTTAAGCCTTTCTTCGCACTTCATCACGCGCCCGTCTTTTCTATTCTACCGGTGCCGTGGGTACAAAATCCTGCTTCTGCTTTTACGTCTTGCTCTGTGCGCGTCCAATATGTCAATATGTGCAACACCTGCTGACGGGAGTGACCAAGGAGCTACGAAAGAATGAGGCAGCCCAAGGTCAATAGGTGGAGTAGGGTCAATTTTTGACTGGCTATCAAGAGACAATATGTTGTTTGCAGTTTTGGGTGAGTTCTCCCGAACTTTGAGAAGTCTGGATTACGGGAACAGCATCTGCATGCGCGCTTTGCGGGATTGTGCCGCAGCCAGGCATATCCTCATTGCCAGCAGGCAAAATGTTTGTTGTACTCGGTTCAAGTGTTTTCTTGCTCGGCATTAAGGGTTGCATCATCATCCGGGGGTACTGTGGGCACAGCACTAGCCATGGTTTGAGCCCCTCAAAAGAATCCTCAAATTGACCTCAAGACTGCTGACCTAGAAGTATGGAGACTTCTACTGCTACGTTTGCTACTGCCAATGCTACTGTTGATGCTACATTTGTGTCACGTTAATGCCACTGCTTTAAACGCTTGCAAAAACTTCCAATGTGCCAGACAAATGCAGGAAATTGCAGAAAATGCAAATGGCAGTCCGGTGGTGACATACCTGTTCTCATATGATACTCAGCTGCCACCCTCTCGATCGTGGAGGGCCGAGCGACAGATTAAGTACGCTAGACACGGCGCGTGTGATTCATTTGTTGTGGGTCGGTCGTCATGATTATCAACCATTTCTGGAGCAACATTTTACAAAAAGTTGGACAGTGATAATAGACAAGTGCCTCATTTTTTCCAAACGGGCTGTCACACAGTCAGCATTTGCAAGCTCACGCTTCTGATGCCCTGCAGGTACTTGGTGTTTGGCATAGCGCGTCCGGACCAAGTCATACCCAGCACGGGGTCCAGGTTGTGTTGAGCGCCTCGAGGATGAAGCCGCTGTAGACAACACAGGCTGTGTCAGAAGGTTCTGGTCGGCAGCACGAGGGCTTGATAGCGCAGCGAGACGTCCAAATGCACCTACAGCACAAGCAGCATAGAGGTGCGAACATGCGGCCCCATCATGGTGCATTTAGGCATTGGAACAGAACATGCAAGAGTGCGGATAAAGACTGCTTGTCCTGGTGCCACGTGAACAAGTCTTTCCAAGCAGTTGAGGCTGACAGGCTGCGAGATGCCCTAGGCCTATCCAAAAGCCTTGTGGATAAGCAAATGTTGTAACATTAGCTGCCCGTCCCCTCTCCATCTCCATATCTCTCCCCAACTCCCCTTGTATAAGCCAAGAACCAAATATATGCCTGAATGCGGGCAGTGAACAGTAAGGCTGAAAGCAATCACATGACTGATTTGGCAACATGCGTTCAGCTGGGCTGCACGACTCGTCCGGGAACCGCTCTAAGACGCGCTGCTCACTCCCGGCTGCCAAGGCCAGTTGGAGGCAAGCGGTGCAGAGCTAGCTGCGCGAGCTTCTGTGAAGCACTCCTCCTCCTGCCCCCTCCTCTTGCCCAACACCAATGCTTAGGGTTGATTTGCCTGTTGTAACTCCCTACCTCTGATCTATTTGCCCAAGCCTTCCTTCTTTGCGGATGATGCCGTAATGCTTGCTGCTGGAACCACTAGTAGCTCCACTGGTGCTGGCACAAACAGTCCAAGGAAGGAAGCACGTAGGCCAATTCATGCAAAAACAACAGTTTGACAGCTGCGAGAACCTTGGTCGCGGGTTCGTTGTGTCTTTGTAGGCCTCGTCCGAGTAAGTATCCGTGCAGCCTAGTGCAACCCCTACCGCTCTGAGGGCCAGCTCTCAGCCCATGGTTGTGTGACTGTACATCTGACTTTTTCTGCTTGCCAAAACTGAGAGTTGCACGTGGGTGACATATGGAAGGGAAAAGCATGAAAGGGACAATCTTTTGCATTCCGTTTGCAGAGGATTGTCCTGAACCTTGGTGTGCTGCTTGGGGGCTTCATGTTCAACTGGCTCATACCGTGCGTATCTCACAGTGGCACAGCAACAGCTCCCGATTAGGAAGCACGCAATCATCTTGTGGGAGCGCTTGTGCGGCGTTGTTGCTATCCTTATCCGAGCTAACTTCAAGGACCCCTCCGCCCATCCCAACCCTCATCCCTGACCCCAGAGTGCTGCACATCGCGACACATGAGCTTTGAAAACCATTTGTTGTTACAATATGCGGGGTTGGCCGGGCAGGTGCACGAACAGCAAGCGGAAGGGGAAAGGAAAAACACTCTGAGAGTGGAACCCCCTCGGACTCAGCTGCAAACTGCAAGTCAAAGTGAATGGAAAACCCCGATCGCCCACACAAAGCCATGTTAAGAATAGAACTGCTGTGCCCCTTGCCTTAACCCTTAACAGTTACTCAAATCAACAATCCCGTCTGCAGGAGATAGGACGGAGTCAACCGGTACCACCAAGGAGATCAGGATGCCAAGGTCATAGCGGAAACTAGACGGCTCAGCAAAACGGAAATCCTTGGGCCCGCACAGCGCTGAAACGACTTATGGACATCGCGGGTGCAGCACACGTGGGAAACATCCAAGCTGATAGCTTGCCTCCAAGGGATTTGATGCCGTGGGGGGAGGTATGATCCTTGCAGAAACTTGCCTGCAGCATTGCCTTCTGTGCCAGTGCGATGACCAGGACCAGCACCGGAGGAGGCAGCAGCCAGTTTGCAAGACATCTGCAACGGGCCTCCGCCTTTCAAATCGTGCTTTAAGCGACCCCTTGCTGTGTCATCGTCCCTGCTCACAAGTTTCATTGGAGTTTCATCGTGATATCTACAGTATCCAAGCCCTGCAAAGACAAACTTAAGGCTCTGTCGCCTTGCAGAGCCTGCGTGTGCAGATTTCCGTTGCTCGAGCCGGCTTCTGGCCAGTGATTATGCACAACAAAATAAAAAGATTTGCCTGCTGACGAGTCTCTGGACAACATGTCCTCGACCTCAACTGACTGCAACATACGTGCACAGCGCGGCAACAACCTCAAGCTCGACGATCACCCTCAACAAATGTTCCTTTAGCTTGTCCTGTCACAAGACTTCACCTCACACACTGCGCCCACTGGGCCCGCCAAGTCAATGTGCCCTGGCTTTATTTGAGGCCCCCCTGTTCTTGGTGGGCATTGGAATCCGACAGCACCCCTCCATAGTCCCTCCGCTTAGCCTGGATATGATATGGCTTAGATTCATGGCATCCGTGACAAATGACAAGAAGATCCCTTAAAGCATTCAGTGCCATAATGCAGCTTTGCAGCTCGGATCGGCTCAACACTACCTCAGGAGCCGCCCGAACTGACACAACAGCTGCCGCTAAGCTCCAAAGAGCCTTCGTGACTTGCCACAGCATAATGGCATGCGTGTTGCAAACAGATGTGTGGAATGGACTGCTGCATTGCATGCTGCAGGATGACCCATTAAGCGCCTGTTGGCCGCAAATGCAGTCCAAGCTTCCAACAATGCGATCAGCTTCAGCGAGGCTTAGGTGGACATGCGTCACCCTTGGCTTAGTGACCTGGGCCGCACTAGCTTTTACATTGCTTTACATTACATTGCCCTATCCGGCATGCACGCTTCGCAACCACAAGACCAGCTCAGCCTGTAGCAAGGAGCGCCAAGGTTTCATGCCATTCCACATCCACACAACGATCTGCACCAGTTTCCAGCTGCCGAGCGGACATGTCTTCCAGGAAGTGAGACTTCGCCAACAGGTATTGCTGCACTTGAGCATGCTCCAACTGCACAATATCAGCAACCTCCATCGATTCAACACCTCTCTCTATAAGCTGGTCGATGACCTGATACAAGCAATGTGGTATTGGCAAGTGAAAATTCGGCTCGTTTGTCGAAAGTTTCCCTGCAGAGCTACGCGCACTTGAACCCAGATCTTCTCCATCTTTGCTCAAAGAACACATCCAGCGCAAATTGGTGAGGCCTGAGGAGCCCGTGCTTGCTAAGATCTCCTCTGGAAAGCCCATCCCATGATGCAGCTCTAGCAGAATAATGCCAGCAGGTTCACAAGGAGCACATGCAGGCGCCACAGTTTGTGGCAGTCTCGAAGACATCTCCATCCATCCAACAAGCACATCAAGCTCTGAAGGAACTCCAGTGTTAACAGGGTCATCTACATGCAACAGCCCGCGTTTGACCTGCGAGGTGTCCAGTGCAAAGCGGCAGATTTTTGAACCCAGTCCTGGCCGACAATTGCGTAAAAGCTCGCGAACTGTGCATCGCAAGCGGCCAAGAAGTCCCACGAAGTTTCGTTGCAAGAAACCGCCATCATCATCCATCACATCCACCGATACTTCTTGATCCTTGTGATGCACCAGGAAATAGACCGGATCGTCATTCCAGTCAGGATTTGTGGTTGCCGGAACTGTGCTTGTGCGAGACCTGGTACTTCCTACTTGCACAATGCAGTACGGATTGGAGGTGAAACTACGTACTGCACCCATGCGCCAATTCGCACCGGCCAAGTTGATACCGCGCGAGACTTGCATCTTCAGGACACCAATTGGATCCTTTGAGCAAGCCGCCAGGTTCAATAAACGCTGATCTGTGGTAAGACGGACACACTTGCAGTTCGGAAGCACAAGCCTTGCAAGCACTGCGTCCACGATGCTTTTGATTCGTTTTGCTAGACCAGGGACCGGTGAATCTGCAATGCCTGAAAACTCCAGCTCCAACTGTGGTTGCCCCGTAAATGCTATAAGTAATGCCCCAACCACTGGCCATGTGTCTAGAACGGGCTTCAATTCCGTGCACAGCCTGCCATGGAATCTGACGTGCTTCACTCCAACTGACATGCTACTTGATCCAGCAGCAAGCAACACATCCACTCGGCTGGAGTAAGACATCTCCAGCTCGATGCTTATGTGGCTGTCAGATCGTCGCGTGACATCAATTGGCCCAAAGCTCGGAACTCCATCCCCAAGTGAGAACCTTGCAAAGCGTGCCCGGTTGAAAGGGAGTGGCAAACCTTGCTGCAGCTTGGCCGTTAGCTCCGTATGGGCAAAGTTGACGAGCGCAACCGTCGCGTTTGGCCACAATGCTCTCAGCAAACTGTTCACCCATGCCAGATTGCTTGTTTCTGATTCTGCCTCTTCATCCTCAGCCATACACTGCAGATGGCAAAGACTCTTTCGTGGATCTTGATCCAGGCAGCAGGTCAAAATGACTGTGCAGTGTGCAAGTTTCCAGTCATGGCTGGAAGTCCATCCCCGCTGTCCTCTCACCTGCAACAAGCAAGGCTGACGCACAGTTTTGTCACACATGTCTTGCCTGTGCCATTGTGCGGCCTTTGCCGCCTACATCAGCACTGTTGGGAGTGACTGTGAGAACACGAGCCCACGCATCCCGCTTCGCAAGGCATGTGGTAGAAACTCGTCTCAACATTTGCTCACTTGGCACGCTCGCGATGCTGGTCATTGCCAGCGAACAACGTGCATGCCAGATTATCCTGCACTGTATAATTCTTTAACCACTTCGCTCACATACGGCTTTGTTTGACACAGCCTGCACAAAGGATCTGGCAACCCAGCTGCTCACAGTGCAAGGAGACTTGTAAGCGGAGAGTTTTCAGTTGTTGAACCGCAGAATCTTTGGGAAGGAACTACCTGAATTCCGATATCGACCACACAAGCGGCAAAAAGTCAGCGCAGAAAAAAAGCGACAGGCTCCAGCAAGAGCTCAATAAAAAGAGTGATACTAGAAAAAGAAATGAGAATAAACAATACATGTTGTAACATTGCAACAGTAACCAAAGCAATCATAACAGTAGTGGTAATATGAGACTACGTATTATTGGTAATTAATGTTAATCTAAATAAGTAATAAGCTACAAATGATTAGCCATGGTATTAATAGACATGATCATGAGAACGCCCGGCTAATAATGATAGTTAGCTGATAATTCGACTAATAAGAATAGGAACAACAACGATACGGACAATTGTGACAGCTAGGTGTATCAAGAATGGTTGAAACTACATTCCAGTGATTGTTGTACTGTTCGCTGCGATTGAAACGATCTATTTCTCGCAATTAGCACTCGTGTTGTTATTCATGTTTTTTTGGAAAACTACTATTCTTCTGGTCATTTCAAAAATTGTGATCATTCTTATCACCCTCCTCATGTGTCTGACTTTCCTTTTGACGGCTTCTGGCATTGGCCCTCACACCTAGTAGTAGTCGTACCGGTGCAAATATGCAGATTATGTACCAAAGGCTCTAGCAGCCACGACGGACACGAGGATCGCCACCTACAACGCGCAACAGTTCTGAGGGTGGCAACTTCAAGCCGATTCGATGAGCACACCAAGTCGAGCCACTTCGAGCCTGCAACAGCGAGAGCAGTGCTGCACTTCGCGAGGGGCCTGTTGCTATAGCAACGCCCCAAACCCGCAAAGCACCCAAACACGTGGCAAAAACACGATATCGAACAAAATTGCTAGGAGCAAGAACTGAGGCTGCTGTCAAGTCTAGCAATTCTGGCCATTGCCGGGACGCTCCACATGAAAACCAAGAACCCCAGCTGCTTTTTCCTTTGTGTCTCAGCGCCTTGCGGCGTTTGCGGAACCCAGTAAACGGACGCACACGGAACCCGAGGTAGCATTGTTAAACAACAAGAAAATGAAGCTCACGTCAAATGCATTGCACACCCCCGTAATTTGGGTAGTTTGCATGTCTTACCTAGCAGTGAGCGGAAGAAGCAGTATGAGACTGTACCGCTTCCCTTAGAAACTTCACGGCTAACGTGGTGTGGCAAGCCTGCAATAGGGCCTGGCAAAGGAAACTTCCACTGAAAGCAAGGTTGCCCCCCCCCCCCCCCC